TCGGCAGTCACGCGGGGTATATTGCGTGAGGGGCAATCCTGACCGGACAAGGCATAACCCTGTTGATGCCTTCATCGAGTAGATAATGCGAGGAGTAGGAGTTGAGATGGAGCGCGGTAGGAGTGCACTCGAGGCTGTCCGTTTTTCACGTTGACTGCAATTCGGCGCAAGATAAGGTTAGGGCCGGTTACGAGTAGGGCAGACTTGGAGTCGGCGTAGACGCGTCATATACACAATCGCCAGCTCTTGTATACAAAAGGGAAGAGGGGGCTTGCATGTACCGTTGTAGCGGGGTAGAGTAGATAAGGGTGCAATTCGGCGTGTGACAGGGCAGTGTGCGATTAGGGTTGCGTGTGCATTTTTGCATCTAGACTTACAAGCGCAGCAACATTGATTTGCTATCCATTGGATCGGTAAGGTGGTCGCGCGGATCGCGCGGGGCCGACTGTGGGGCGCATTCGACCGAGGCAGAGCAATCTGCTTACTTGCATGCGTGCGCACGTCTATATACATATAATCGTGTGCACAGATCGGTGGGCCCGGTGGCGCGCCCCAGGCGTCGCCGGGGAGCCCGCGGCGCGCCCCAAGCGTCGCCGGCGCCGTCGGGGCATCCAGAGTGCGGACAGGCATCGTCGCGGGTGCAGCAGCGGCGCCTCGGATCGAGTGTCCGACGTGCCCCGAGAGAACACATTTCCCAGCGTAGGGTATTGCGCGTTCGCTTCCACTGGTGGATTTCAAGCACGACGCGCGCGCAACGTGCGCCAACAGTGCATCCCGCAGGTTTCAATTTTTCACAAATTACCCGCCCGTAAATTGCCAATCGTTAGAAATATTCATGAATGCCCCTGCAAATTTCACGCGCCCAACAAATATTCAAAACATGTTCTAAACTTGCCCCAAAATGCTCCAAAGTAACCCCAACGCCATATGCGAGGTTTCAAAATACTCCAAAAATGCTCCAATGACATCTGCGAACTTTCAAAATATTCCGAAGATGCGCCAGTGCCTGTGCGACATTTCAGAATGCTTCAAGGATGTGCCAGTGCCGCTTGCGGATTTTTTAGGTACTCCAAAGACTCGTCAGTGCAATTCGCGAGTTTAGAGAATATTCAAAATATGTTCCCCTGCCACTTGCGAGATGTCAATATTCACCAAATATGTCCCCGCGGCGACCTATGATATTTCAAAATGCCACAGGGGACACTCGCCGACCATTCGCAAGACAACACAACACCCGAGAACGCAGCGCGTTACCGTCTTCGACAGACGGATCCAAATCTTCCAGAAGATGCCCCCGCGTGTTTTCCGGAGAGCACTACCTTGAGGTAGGCCCCGTGGCCTTTCTTCGAGAACGCGAACATCCCGTCGTAATGCACCCCCCCCCGGCCCCGGCCCCTCTTCGCCCAAAATCGCGCCGCTGCGGCATGTGATGCAGTAGGCTTGCTAGCGGTTCAGATGCCCTGCGTCTGGGTCGCCAAACGCATGACGCGCAGTGCTGATGCGGTGCCCTCGTGGGCCGAACAGCGGGCCACTATGTTGCCGAGCGCATGCCGTTCCGCGCTACAGAAGCGTCGCGGCCTCATTCTGCGTGCCCGATATCGCTGGGGGACTGGCTCTCAACGCGCGCGCATCAAATATGTGATGCGTCCTACGCGCGTTGGCCATTTTTGGATTCAGTTTTCGCGTGCGCCCGCTTTCGTTTTTCGTGGCATGCATTTGCAATTCGGGACGGGGGGGGGGAGGGCGCGGGGGAAGGGGGCCGGTCGATCGGTCGATCGGAAGATTGACCGATCGACCGATCGATACAAAAACGAGTTTGTGGCGTTCCGCCATCCCCCGCGGACCTTTATGTTTACTTTGCGGCGCTTCTCGTTTGCCGTCTGCACGCGTTGCGATCAGCGGTTGTTTTTGGATCGTCTGCGCGTTTGGATGGGCCGTTTTCTGGTGGCTCACCTCGCGTGCCCTCAGGGCGCATGCTGCGTCTGTCGCTTGTCTTCGAGGTGGGCCCAGTGGCGACGAACCGCGTGGAACCGGCTGGGTGCGCAGCAGGGTCGGTTCGTTGTTGGGCGAACGCGCACCCATTGAATGGGTATCGATTTTCTCTTGCAGCGACATAAATGCGACCATGTTTTTCGCGGCGTGGGGAACGAGTTCTTTTAAATCGCGAGACGAGAACAAGGCAATCGTCCAGCAGGGATCGTTGCTTGTCCGAAGTATTTTTGTTATCTCTCGATGCTTTAATGTGCTTGTATAATCAGCGAAGAAGTTTGTTTTTGGGGGCAACATTTCATTCAAACGTCGCTTGTGGGAGGACATGCCCAACATAATCTTTGCGGGAAGGACAATGGGGGGATGATGTTGATGATGAGGATGATGATCACGATGGCGATGCTGATGATGGTGATGATGACGATGATGATGCTGATGATGATGATGATGATGGTGGTGCTGCTGCTGCTGATGATGATGATGATGCTGATGAGGATTAGGAGGAGGAAGAGGAGGAGGACGACGACGAGGAGGAGGGAGGAGGAGGAGGGGGGAGGAGGGGGGAGGAGTGAGGAGGAGGGAGGAGGAGGGAGAAGGAGGGAGGGAGGAGGGAGGGAGGAAGGAGGAGGGAGGAGGGAGGAGGGAAGAGGGAAGAGGGAGGAGGGAGGCGGGAGGAATGAGGAGGGAGGAAGGATGAAAGAGGAGGGGACAGGGAGGGGGGAGGAAGGAGGAAGGAGGAGGGAGGAGGGAGGAGGGAGGAGGGGGGAAGGATGAAGAGGAGGACGAGGAGGTTGAATAGGACCAGGAGGACGAGGAGGACGAGGAGGACGAGGAACATGATGATGATGATGATGATGATGATGATGATGATGATGATGATGATTTTGATGATGATGATGATGATGATGATGATGATGATGATGATGATGATGATGATGATGATGATGATGATGATGATGATGATGCTGATGCTGTGATGATGCTGATGCTGATGATGATGATGATGATGATGCTGATGCTGATGATGATGATGATGATGATGATGATGATGATGATGATGATGATGATGATGTGATGGTGATGGTGATGGTGATGGTGATGGTGATGATGTGATGATGATGATGTTGATGATGATGGTAATGATGGTGATGCCGAGGAGGAGGAGGAGGAGGAGGACGAGGACGAGGAGGAGGGGAACGAGGAGGAGGATGACGAGGACGAGGACGAGGACGAGGACAGGAGGTGGAGGAGGAGGAGGAGGAGGAGGAGGCTCGGAGGAGAAGGAGGAGGAGAGGGAGGAAGAGGAGGAGGAGGCGGAGGAGGAGGAGGAGGAGGAGGAGGAGGACGAGGACGAGGACGAGGACGAGGACGAAGACGAGGACGAGGACAGGAGGAGGAGGAGGAGGCGGAGGATGAGGAGGAGGATGATGATGAGGAGGAGGATCAGGAGGAGGAGGAAGTTGAAGAAGAAACATAACAATACTACGCGTAGTAAGAAGACTAATACTGA